ATTGAACAGAACATCCCATATCTGTCAAGGCTCTTAACGCGGCCGGATCCAGACAGTAATCCTCAGAGTCCCACTCCGGTCCAACAGCTGGTCTCCACTCTCTGTCTCTGTAATCAACTCCCACATGTTCCATTAACAAAAACATTTAGCACAATAAAAGTGAGGATGGCTTTTATCAGCTGCAGCAGAAGCAGATGGGACGCGATGCAGGCCGTGTTTAACAGCGCTCTTAAAACCCGTTCAGCCCGGGGCACGGCGCCGGACGTCCAATGTGTTCAGAGAGTCAAGACAAGTAAATTCAAGTTATTGGGACTTATAGAAATGAGCGAGAAGTTTGTCCAGCGTGGGCGGGTCCCGGCTCATTACAGGCTGGTGGGGGTGTACCCGGAAAGAATATTACCCAATGCTTTTGTATGGCTTCTTCTTTCCTCTAGAAAAAGTCGCTCTTGGCCCAAAGCTCCGTTCCACATGTGTGTCATCGCTGAGGGGAGTGTTTTGGACCAGTCTAGTTTAGTCACTGTGGACTTCAGAATGCACTTGTGAAATGAATGGCGCTAGTGCAGGTAACACATGCGCAAATGCGATTTTTCACATTATCCTGCCCCACGGCCATTTTGAAAAAGATCCATAAAAGGTGAAAGTGGTGGCACATTAGTTTCAACGCCGGAGAAAGGTGTGAATATGTCTGTTATTATTTACAGTCTATGAGTTTGTCCAGCTCTGAAACACCAAGGAGATGGACCACCTCCTCATCAACAGAAGACCAAGGAGATGGACCACCTCCTCATCAACAGAAGACCAAGGAGATGGTCCTCATCAACAGAAGACCAAGGAGATGGACCACCTCCTCATCAACAGAAGACCAAGGAGATGGTCCTCATCAACAGAAGACCAAGGAGATGGACCACCTCCTCATCAACAGAAGACCAAGGAGATGGACCACCTCCTCACCAACAGAAGACCAAGGAGATGATCCACCTCCTCATCAACAGAAGACCAAGGAGATGGACCACCTCCTCACCAACAGAAGACCAAGGAGATGGACCACCTCCTCATCAACAGAAGACCAAGGAGATGATCCACCTCCTCATCAACAGAAGACCAAGGAGATGGACCACCTCCTCATCAACAGAAGACCAAGGAGATGGACCACCTCCTCATCAACAGAAGACCAAGGAGATGGACCACCTCCTCATCAACAGAAGACCAAGGAGATAGAAGACCTTCTCATCAACAGAAGACCAAGGGGATGGACCACCTCCTCACCAACAGAAGACCAAGGAGATGGACCACCTCCTCATCAACAGAAGACCAAGGAGATGGACCACCTCCTCATCAACAGAAGACCAAGGAGATGGACCACCTCCTCATCAACAGAAGACCAAGGAGAGGGACCACCTCCTCATCAACAGAAGACCAAGGAGATAGAAGACCTTCTCATCAACAGAAGACCAAGGGGATGAACCACCTCCTCATCAACAGAAGACCAAGGAGATAGACCACCTCCTCATCAACAGAAGACCAAGGAGATGGACCACCTCCTCATCAACAGAAGACCAAGGAGATGGACCACCTCCTCATCAACAGAAGACCAAGGAGATGGACCACCTCCTCATCAACAGAAGACCAAGGAGATGATCCACCTCCTCATCAACAGAAGACCAAGGAGATGGTCCACCTCCTCATCAACAGAAGACCAAGGAGATGAACCACCTCCTCATCAACAGAAGACCAAGGAGATGAACCACCTCCTCACCAACAGAAGACCAAGGAGATGGACCACCTCCTCATCAACAGAAGACCAAGGAGATGGACCACCTCCTGTTCAACAGAAGACTAAGGAGATGAACCACCTCCTCATCAACAGAAGACCAAGGAGATGGACCACCTCCTCATCAACAGAAGACCAAGGAGATGAACCACCTCCTCACCAACAGAAGACCAAGGAGATGGACCACCTCCTCATCAACAGAAGACTAAGGAGATGAACCACCTCCTCACCAACAGAAGACCAAGGAGATGAACCACCTCCTCACCAACAGAAGACCAAGGAGATAGACCACCTCCTCATCAACAGAAGACCAAGGAGATAGAAGACCTTCTCATCAACAGAAGACCAAGGAGATAGACCACCTGCTCACCAATGCAGGGAGGACTGAGGAGATGAAGGTGGATTCATAGCCCCAGTGAACATCCAGGGAGGCGACATTGAGAGGATGAAAAGTAGTTATTTTAGATTTTTCATGTTCAACATTGGTCTCGATATTTTGGTATCTGGTACCTGCTGCAGCCCGTCCCATCCAAGCCGGCCCCTTCCATTCTCAGCTAATAACACAGCGCTGCCAACCTAAGCCAATCAGCAGAAAAAAAACGGAAACTTTCCAAAGTATTTTTCCAAGTACCTAGGTCTTATGTCACCAGTACCTAGGTCTTATGTCACCAGTACCTAGGTCTTATGTCACCACCAGTACCTATGGCCCGGGGGGATCATAAGCGTCACACAAGCAATGATCAGACCAAGAGATTACGAAAACAAATACATCATTTTTATTGCACACTTTCTGTCTCTGTGCAGTGTCTCCAGATTGGATTGCAGCTAATAGCTCTTGTGTTTCATCATCCTTCACTTCTATGACACCTGCGGAACTTTCTGACATTTTTATAACATTTTCATCTTAATTGATACATGGAGGACTCATCAAAGTGATTTTTGAACAGGGATAAAAACTACAGAACAACTTTGATGTGTGACAATGTTGCATAAAGAGCAATTCGGAGAGACTGGATATGAAAGTGTGCAAACCCATTCCTCTCGTCACTTACGTTTGTTCCATGGATACACAAACCTTCACATACCCCCGTCCCCGACCCCTCCCTGGATCAGCCCACCTCACACGCTTACACCGAGCTGCAGCACACAATGGGGCTAATCTCTAAAACACGGGATTAGCAGCGAGATAGATCCAAGTATGTTCCGAGTGTCAGCGGCGATTAGGCCCCGATAACAGGGCGACTCCACATTACTCACCACAGGAGGGGGTGGGGGGGCTACTGTGGGGGGTTATGCTCTGCCATAGTTCAGGGTGGCCTTCAGGTAGACCAAGCAAACATGTCTCTATAGGGGGGAGAGGGGATAGGAGTGGGCTAGAACAACAATAAGGGCCAGTCTGGTGTTGTAATAACTGTTTACTGCAGCTTGATGATAGAAATACTAACTAAAAACACTGCTGTGGAGGAATCGACAACTTTGCAAATCCCTCCGAGTCTGCTGCTGCTGTGATTTAGGGCAAAAGGAAAAGAAACTGAATTGAACTGAACCTGCTCGTGTGCAAGTGCGTGTGCGAGTGTGTGAGTACATGTGTGTGTGTGTGTGTGTGTGTAAACTTATTTCCATAACACACCAGTTTGTGTGTTAATTGCGGCGTTTGAAGCTGTGTGGGAGACGATTACGGAGACGCAGTAGAAGAAGCCAAAGGATAGAAAAACAACCTCAGTACTTGGCGGACTGATCCACTTCATCATCAATGAGCAACACCAAAAGTAATGTATTCATAACCGCTTCTACACTACAAACGCTTTCCCTACAAAGTGCTATTGATTCCGTCTGGGCACTTTACATAACAAAAAGCCGGCGTTGGACTGGAGCAGGATTTTTTTTTGCGAAGCCTCAATCGATCATTTTTAGCGGCGGGTCTTTGTGGCACGGTGAAAAGGCTGGTCTGCGGAGGTGCGGAGAGACGACAGGGACACAAAGCCCAAACCTGCAGCCTGTCAGGGGCTCTGTCAGGGGGGGGAGGAGGTGCTGAATGAGGGGTGGTCCTGGTCCTCCCCCCCCCTCACCCCCGCATCCAACCCTCACACCGCAAAACGTAGATTAGACGAGAGACGAGAGGACACAGACAGGGCCCACATCCCGGACTGGCAGCTGGACAGGAAGCAGCAAAATGCTGAACGAAAACAAGATCAATCACCCAAGGCAGTCAAATCATCGAGTGAAGATAAAATCCCTCAGTTGTTGCAGCGAAGTAGAACTGTTTTTAAACTGGATTTGGAGATTGTCAGAGAAGAAGCCTGTCTCACATTTTTGGATGCATGAATCTGACACGCTGCCACCTCGTGTAAAGTTCTGACTCTGGGACCAGCAGGAGGCCGGTCCCTGTGCTCCTCAGAGTCCCAGCAGGAGGCCAGTCCCTGTGCTCCTCAGAGTCCCAGCAGGAGGCCAGTCCCTGTGCTCCTCAGAGTCCCAGCAGGAGGCCAGTCCCTGTGCTCCTCAGAGTCCCAGCAGGAGGCCAGTCCCTGTGCTCCTCAGAGTCCCAGCAGGAGGCCAGTCCCTGTGCTCCTCAGAGTCCCAGCAGGAGGCCAGTCCCTGTGCTCCTCAGAGTCCCAGCAGGAGGCCAGTCCCTGTGCTCCTCAGAGTCCCAGCAGGAGGCCAGTCCCTGTGCTCCTCAGAGTCCCAGCAGGAGGCCAGTCCCTGTGCTCCTCAGAGTCCCAGCAGGAGGCCAGTCCCTGTGCTCCTCAGAGTCCCAGCAGGAGGCCAGTCCCTGTGCTCCTCAGAGTCCCAGCAGGAGGCCAGTCCCTGTGCTCCTCAGAGTCCCAGCAGGAGGCCAGTCCAACCAACTTCAGCTCCACCAACACAGTCATGCTATATCTTGTTGAATCCAGTAGTTTACTCTATTGTTATTTACTGACAGTCGTTTTATGATTGTATACAAAAAATCCACATAAATGCAGCAGTGAATCAAAAGGACGTATCAAAAGTCATTTTCAATTCCAGAATCCAGTTTTTTAAACCCAGGTTGTCGGCCCCAGGTCAAGTCTGATGAACTAAAGTGTCCCTCTTACTGAAAAGTTTGGACACCCCTGATCTAGTGTCTGATTATCCCAGTTTAGTCTGACAAACAGGAGCCGAGAGTCAATCTGTCGTCACTGCGACTCCACCCGACTCCACCCGCTCCTGAGCTGATGGTTCCTTTGTCGGAGAAATCACCGCTCGTGGGATTATGTCAAGCCTCGTGTTTGACATTCTGCTGACAGTAAGATATGTTTGTGCTTCAGAGTGACAGCTGCAGAGGTGGAGGAGGTGGAGTAGGTGGAGAAGGACGAGAAAGAGAAGGTGGAGAAGGACGAGAAGGCGGAAAAGGAGAAGGTGGAGAAGGTAGAGAAGGAGGTGGTGGAGAAGGTAGAGAAGGAGAAGGTGGAGAAGGTAGATAAGGAGGAGAAGGAGGAGAAGGTGGAGAAGGTGGAGGAGGAGAAGGTGGAGAAGGTAGAGAAGGTGGAGAAGGTAGAGAAGGAGGAGAAGGAGGAGAAGGTGGAGGATGAGGAGAAGGTGGAGAAGGTAGAGAAGGAGGAGAAGGTGGAGGAGGAGGAGAAGGTGGAGAAGGTGGAGGAGGAGGAGAAGGAGGAGAAGGTGGAGAAGGTGGAGAAGGAGGAGAAGGAGGAGAAGGTGGAGAAGGTGGAGGAGGAGGAGAAGGAGGAGAAGGTGGAGAAGGTAGAGGGAGGAGGAGAAGGTGGAGAAGGTAGAGGGAGGAGGAGAAGGTGGAGAAGGTGGAGGAGGAGGAGAAGGAGGAGGAGGTGGAAAAGGCGGAGAAGATGGAGAAGGAGGAGGTGGAGAAGGCAGAGAGAGAAGCCAAAGAAATGTGCTGGAGATAGATTGATGAGAGTTCAAACAAATACTCATAAATACTCACAAATACTCACAGATACTCACAGATACTCACAAATACTCACAAATACTCACAAATACTCACAAATACTCATAAATACTCATAAATACTCACAGATACTCACAGATACTCACAAATACTCACAAATACTCACAAATACTTATAAATACTCACAGATACTCACAAATACTCACAAATACTCACAAATACTCACAAATACTCACAAATACTCATAAATACTCATAAATACTCACAGATACTCACAAATACTCACAAATACTCACAAATACTCACAAATACTCGTGTAGAGAAGATTTAAAAGTGAAACACACAAATCTAACTTTAGATCCATCTGAGTTTATATCAGTAACTACAGACACAGAGACACAGGTACATATAGACACAGAGACACAGGTACATATAGACACAGACACACAGGTACATATAGACACAGAGACACAGGTACATATAGACACAGAGACACAGGTACATATAGACACACAGAGACACAGGTACATACTGTATAGACACACAGAGACACAGGTACATATAGACACAGAGACACAGGTACATATAGACACACAGAGACACAGGTACATATAGACACAGAGAGACACAGGTACATATAGACACACAGACACACAGGTACATATAGACACAGAGACACAGGTACATATAGACACAGAGAGACACAGGTACATATAGACACAGAGACACAGGTACATATAGACACAGAGAGACAGGTACATATAGACACAGAGACACAGGTACATATAGACACAGAGACACAGGTACATATAGACACAGAGACACAGGTACATATAGACACAGAGACACAAGTACATATAGACACAGAGACACAGGTACATATAGACACAGAGACACAGGTACATATAGACACAGAGACACAGGTACATATAGACACAGAGACACAGGTACATATAGACACAGACACACAGGTACATATAGACACAGAGACACAGGTACATATAGACACAGCGACACAGGTACATATAGACACAGAGAGACACAGGTACATATAGACACAGAGAGACACAGGTACATATAGACACAGAGAGACACAGGTACATATAGACACAGACACACAGGTACATATGGACACAGAGAGACACAGGTACATATAGACACAGAGAGACACAGGGCAGACAATCAAGACATTGCAAGAGGACAGGAAGTCAAAGTAAAACTAAACCCCAAAGTCAAAATAACTCAAATGTGCGTCTGGGTAAACTTCAACTACACCTATGGTTCACACACATTTGCATTTGGCCAAAAGGCTCCTGGAACATCAGCAGTGGGAGAGTTTGTCTGTCCAGTCACGGATCCAAATGAGTGGGTTGCCATCTTCTCAGTATGGCCTCACACCTGTAGTTCTGAGCAGAGACAGACTATAGAAAGCAACACTACATATACAGCAATGGAACGTGACAATGAAATAATCTCCAACCCCATTAAGGATATTAGTCGGCTGATTTTAGAGCTCCGTGAGAGAGATCGTGCTACAATAGCAGCACTGCTTGTGTACAAGTCTCTCCATGGCCTCGCACCAAAGTACTTAAAGACCTTATGACGGGTTTTTAAAAAAAAGAATAGTGGATATCAAAATTGCATGACAATGTCAATTTGAAAGAGATTCCGGCAAAAAAAATCCTATATTTTATAAAAAGAAGGTGTTTTTCATGAATTTAAGTTGTCTATGCTCTAACCTGTGTGTGACGTCACAGCGGGTAACGCCCATGCATTGAAAACCATGGATCTATGCCACAGGACTGCCTTTTCTCTCTTCTCTCCACTGATGCCCAACACAATACTGCCCTCTACAGGTGACAATTGCTCACTACACATAAATTGCCGTTTTGAGAGTGAAAAAGTGTCTGAGGTGGGATTTAAACCCAAGTATCTGGATTGACAGTCCATTGACAACCACTGGACTATCTCAGAGCCAACAATATATCACAATCTAGTATTTATGTCAGACTCGCTGTACACGGCCTTGTCCTCTTGAATATCCGCGAATAAAGAACGAATACCAAATTGTAAACAACTTACAGCGTTGAAACGTACCCACTCTGACGTCACCAAGGGCTGTGAAGTTTTTTCGTCTCTAAGGGCGTTGCTATGGGGTTATTTCGATTTGGGGGGATCAGACAAAAAAAACAACAACTGATTTTGAAACCTTTAGTAGTTCTCTTCTAATATAAAATGGTATTAAAACTGTATTTCTAAATAAATCAAACCCGTCATAAGGTCTTTAAGCGACTTGTTAGTGCCATATGAACCGGCCCGGACTCTGAGGAGCACAGGAGGTAGCCTCTTACTGGTTCCAAGAGTCAGGACTAAACATGGGGAGGCAGCGTTTGAGATTTATGCAGCTAAAATCTGGAACAATCTTCCTGAAGATGTAAGGCTAGCATCTACTCTGGCAATTTTCAAATCAGGATTAAAAACTGTTCTTTTTAGCTGTGCATACGGCTGAAGGATTTTATTGATACATACTCTTTTTTAATGCATTGTGGTTATTTATTATTTTAATCCCGTGTGTGTTTTTAATGTTTTAAGGTTTTTTCATTACTTGTGATTGTATTCTGTTTTTAATGTATTTATTGTTTGTATATGTAGATTTTGATGTTTCTGATTTGTCTGATATTATGTGGGTTGTGAGGCGCTTTGAGTGGCCTTGTGTTGGAAAGGCGCCATACAAATAAAGTTGATTGATTGATTGATTGATAGAACGCTGTGGCCACTTTCCATTTCACAACAATACTTTAAAGCCTTGTTCAAAATACAGCTTTGGAGCCGGGTTATAGACACGGCTCTGGCTTCAACACTCGGACTCCCAGAATTCTGAAACTCCCATAACTCCCAGATCAATTAAATCAATTCAAAGCAGAACCAAGTAATTTATACCTTTTATTGACTTCTAACGAGTGCTAAAACTGGTAAATAAAACTTTAAATACAGCCAAAACAAATTGCTAAAAGGCTAACAAATGCTAACTGCTGCAGGAAAACAGTGTGTTTCTATGGTAACTAGCAGATTTTCAGGCGATCGAAAACAGTAGTAACTTTGGAGGTTACAGGTAGAACCATGGGGCCATCTTTGTTTTGGGTCCAGCCTTCTTCTTCTTCTTCTTTTTTCTAGTTTTATGGCAGCCGGCAACCACCGGAGGTGCATATACTGCCAACTACTTCACTGAGGTGTGATGGGCATTGAGATGTTCCGTTATTTAAATACGGTCCAAAAGTTTTGTTTCCCATTGACTGCCAGCCGTTTTTGATGATTTCACTGATTTTCAAGGCCCACAGAATATTGTGTGCTATGACTATGTAAAATTTGAAACCAGATTCTGAAAGACTGAATTGTCTACTTTCATCAGCAAAAATAAGTTTGTTTCTTGCTAGTTTGGTTCTCCTGTAATCCTCCATCGAATAGAGAGAAGTTTGACAGAAATCACCAGTCTCAGACAAATACGTCAATGGCAGTCAATGAGTTAAGAAACACAGCAGTTGTTTCTGAATATTTGTATTTGCAAGTATTGCTCTGTGATTGGTTGGATTCCAGATTTAAAGCCAGGAGTTTACAATATGTATTATTAAGCAAAAATCAATCACGTTCTGTCAGTTCAAGTTCACTGACCCTCAGACTGGAAATGTTTACCGTTATCCACCTCCGTTATAACACCTCCAGAGCCCGTGTGTGTGTGTGTGTGTTTGTGTGTGTGTGTGCGTGTGTGTGTGTTTTGCCTTCTGTGTTTATATTGTTTTCTATGAATTGTGTTGTTTTTGTTTGCTCTACTATCTGCCTTACTGTATCTGTCATTTTGTGCAATTTTGGGGACCCCCTCAAAAACTAAATGTTTTGTCTTTAGGGGTTTATCCTCCAAACAAATACATAAATAAATAAAACTAATTTCTGCCCGCCAAAACACAAGCATTGCTTCGTAGGGACTTCTTGGTTTTCTGACAGACTTATTTTGTTTTATAGATTACATTATGTTAAAATATGAGATTTAGCTCCAACACGCAGCATGGAATTTCTTCGACCACAAGATGGCAGTAGTGGCATATCCCAGTCATCTCTTACTCCATTTGTCATGTCCTATGTGAGCTCTATCGGAATTTCCAAAGCACTAAATGTTTAATAATGAGCCACGTGGGACTCCGTGTTCACCCGGACGCAGCAGCAGTCCATCCTGAGCCGGAGAAGGAGCTTGTTTCGCTTTGACAGCCGCTAATTAAAATGGCTAATTGTTTTGGGATGTGTCCTAATTACGGTGTTGTTATTTGTAGCAGAGGGCCATCTGGTGTCTGCTGCCGTGTCGGAGTGTGCTCAGGCTAATTGAGTGAAACGGGATCTGAGAGAACGGAGGCTGTGACCTGAGAGTCGACTGTAGCCACAAAACTGAACCTTCAGCCTCCGACCGAAACATTCACACAGAAAACACTCTGCGCCAGTGTTTTTCACCCAGTGTGAAAACGGATTTCACCGGATTAGTCCAAATAAAGAGAAAAGCAAATAATGAGAGAAGATTTTAGAGACTTTTTTGCACTTGTGTATGTTTTCCATATAACACACGTTGACGAGAATGACCTATTGTTATAAAAGCAATATGTCAGATTTTCATGCCATTAAAGGGCCCTAATCTGTCATCATTAAAGGGCCCTAATCTGTCATCATTAAAGGGCCCTAATCTGTCATCATTAAAGGGCCCTAATCTGTCATAATTAAAGGGCCCTAATCTGTCATCATTAAAGGGATCTAATCTGTCGTCATTAAAGGGCCCTAGTCTGTCATCATTAAAGGGCCCTAGTCTGTCATCATTAAAGGGCCCTAATTTGTCATCATTAAAGGGCCCTAATCTGTCATCAGTAAAGGGCCCTAATCTGTCATCATTAAAGGGCCCTAATCAGTCCCTAATCCGTCATTATTAAAGGGCCCTAATCTGTCATCATTAAAGGGCCTTAATCTCTCATCATTAAAGGGCCCTAATCTCTCATCATTAATGGGCTCTAATCTGTCATCATTAAAGGGCCCTAGTCTGTCATCATTAAAGGGCCCTAATCTATCATCATTAAGGGCCCTAATCTCTCATCATTAATGGGCTCTAATCTGTCATCATTAAAGGGCCCTAATCTGTCATCATTAAAGGCCCTAATCTGTCATCATTAAAGGGCCCTAATCTGTCATCATTAAAGGGCCCTAATCAGTCCCTAATCCGTCATCATTAAAGGGCCCTAATCTGTCATCATTAAAGGGCCCTAATCTGTCATCATTAAAGGGCCCTAATCTCTCATCATTAAGGGCCCTCATCTGTCATCATTAAAGGGCCCTAATCTCTCATCATTAAGGGCCCTAATCTCTCATCATTAAAGGGCCCTAATCTCTCATCATTAAAGGGCCCTCATCTGTCAAAGGGCATTAATAAACCATGGTCTTTTCAAATACAGTAGGTCAGAGTGTTTTTCTAAATTACTTTTCCAGCCTCTAAATCTTGTTATTGTTTTCATTTCGATGTCCCGCCCTCCACCGTTTCACCAATCAGAAAGTCTGTGATCCGGGCGCCAGAACTCACCGCGTGGAGCTAATCTCACTGGTAAAGTACCATGTGGCGCAGAACTAAAAAAGGTCTCGTTATGATTCTCAAATCATTAACGACAAAACAAGGAATAAAACCAGGATTTCTATCTTTGTAAAAAAGGTGTTGGTTATAGATTTGTTGTTGACAAAACTCTTGTCTATTCAGCTGTTATGGTCCCAGCTGGATTCGTCTGCATATCTGGCAACCTGAGTCAGGGAGAGTGGGAGAGGCTGCAGTACCACTTTTATCCACATTTTTACAGTTTTGTTTTGTGATTATTGTGACGCAACTCTTTCTTCTCTTAAATCTTACTGTCTGTATCAGTTTAAGCCGCAGGTTTGCTTCGTGATTTTCTTACGATTTTCTTCAATTAAAAAGAAATGCCCGAGCTCAGAAAGATTGGGGAACACTGCTCTACGCAATGTTGGTGAAGTGTGTTGCCTAAGAACACAGCAAGAGTTTGGCCCTTGACTGACGTCTCACACTGAGGTCTCCCATCACGGCACTAACCAGGCCATGTCCTGCTTCCAGAGTGGGCAGTCGCTCTTCCCTGCTGCTTTGATTTTCTAATCTCCTTTACTCATTCCTATTCACGTTTTTATTCTGCATAAAAACACGGATTACTCCTTTTACAGACTTCAAACAAAATAAAAATAATTAATGTGTACTGTCCCTATTCTAATAAACTAATAATAAATTACAACAACAGAAGTTTGAGGACGTCACAAAGTTGTTGATTCGCCAACAACAGATCAGAGAATCAGACTCAGGAAACGCAATCAAAACAAACACACTAACAGCACTTCCCTATCAGGCTTCATTACGCTAGCGGGTTAGCCTTAGCGGGTTAGCCTTAGCGGGTTAGCCTTAGCGGGTTAGCCTTAGCGGGTTAGCCTTAGCGGGTTAGCCTTAGAGGGTTAGCCTTAGCGGGTTAGCCTTAGCGGGTTAGCCTTAGCGGGTTAGCCTTAGCGGGTTAGCCTTAGCGGGTTAGCCTTAGCGGGTTAGCCTTAGCGGGTTAGCCTTAGCGGGTTAGCCTTAGCGGGTTAGCCTTAGCGGGTTAGCCTTAGCGGGTTAGCCTTAGCGGGTTAGCCTTAGCGGGTTAGCCTTAGCGGGTTAGCATAATCCATATATTCACAGTCTTTGCTGCAGACCCATGTTTTTGGATTAGCTTTTAAAATTCAGAGTTGGCTTTTCACCGCAGACCAGATGTGTGCGGTGTGTGTGTGTGTGTGTGTGTGTGTGTGTCTGTGTGTGTGTATGTGTGTGTGTGTGTGTGCGTGAGTGCGTCTGTGTGTGCGTTTTTGTGTGTGCGTCTGTACATCTGTGTGTGTGTGCGTCTGTGTGTGTTCATCTGTGTGTGCATCTGTGTGTTTGTGGATCTGTGTGTGTGCATCTGTGTGTGTGCATCTGTGTGTGTGCATCTGTGTGTTTGTGGATCTGTGTGTGTGCATCTGTGTGTTTGTGGATCTGTGTGTGTGCATCTGTGTGTGTGCATCTGTGTGTGTGCATCTGTGTGTGTGCATCTGTGTGTTTGTGGATCTGTGTGTGTTCATCTGTGTGTGTGCATCTGTGTGTTTGTGGATCTGTGTGTGTGCATCTGTGTGTGTGCATCTGTGTGTTTGTGCATCTGTCTGTGTGTGTGTATGTGTGTGTGTGTGTGTGTGCGTCTGTGTGTGTGCGTTTTTGTGTGTGCGTCTGTACATCTGTGTGTGTGTGTGTGTGTGTGCATCTGTGTGTGTGCATCTGTGTGTTTGTGGATCTGTGTGTTCATCTGTGTGTGCATCTGTGTGTGTGTGTGCATCTGTGTGTGTGTGCATCTGTGTGTGTGCATCTGTGTGTTTGTGGATCTGTGTGTTCATCTGTGTGTGCATCTGTGTGTGTGCATCTGTGTGTGTGTGCATCTGTGTGTGTGCATCTGTGTGTGTGCATCTGTGTGTTTGTGGATCTGTGTGTTCATCTGTGTGTGCATCTGTGTGTGTGTGCATCTGTGTGTGTGCATCTGTGTGTGTGCATCTGTGTGTGTGTGCATCTGTGTGTTTGTGCATCTGTGTGTGTGCATCTGTGTGTTTGTGCATCTGTGTGTGTCTGTGTGTGTGTGTGCATCTGTGTGTGTGTCTGTGTGTGCATCTGCGTCTGCGTCTGCGTGTCTGTGTGTGTTCATAAACGTGGCGCTGGGAGAAGGCTTCAGCTTTTGGCAGCGGTAATGAGCCACTTGGCACTGGTCGGTCTGGGTCGGCTCCGGTGACTAAACGGTCAGTGTCGAGTGGTGGCCAGAGGGGGGAGACCCTCAGTCCTGGGTCTACAGCCTCAGTCCTGGGTCTACAGCCTCAGTCCTGGATCTACAGCCTCAGTCCTGGGTCTACAGTCTCAGCCCTGGATCTACAGCCTCAGTCCTGGATCTACAGCCTCAGTCCTGGGTCTACAGCCTCAGTCCTGGGTCTACAGCCTCAGTCCTGGATCTACAGCCTCAGTCCTGGGTCTACAGTCTCAGTCCTGGGTCTACAGCCTCAGTCCTGGGTCTACAGCCTCAGTCCTGGGTCTACAGCCTCAGTCCTGGGTCTACAGTCTCAGTCCTGGATCTACAGCCTCAGTCCTGGATCTACAGCCTCAGTCCTGGATCTACAGCCTCAGTCCTGGGTCTACAGCCTCAGTCCTGGGTCTACAGTCTCAGTCCTGGATCTACAGCCTCAGTCCTGGATCTACAGCCTCAGTCCTGGATCTACAGCCTCAGTCCTGGATCTACAGCCTCAGTCCTGGATCTACAGCCTCAGTCCTGGGTCTACAGCCTCAGTCCTGGGTCTACAGCCTCAGTCCTGGATCTACAGCCTCAGTCCTGGGTCTACAGCCTCAGTCCTGGATCTACAGCCTCAGTCCTGGGTCTACAGCCTCAGTCCTGGATCTACAGCCTCAGTCCTGGGTCTACAGCCTCAGTCCTGGATCTACAGCCTCAGTCCTGGGTCTACAGCCTCAGTCCTGGGTCTACAGCCCTTTCGAGAGGCAGTCACAACAAGCGGACATCATAGAGTCCAGAGTAAACTCAGAGAAACCGTCAGTACCGAGACCCGGTCGCACGTCTAAACAAAACAACTGCTCTAATTATGGACTTCTCACGATCATCAATAACTCACTCAAACACAAACAACACTCAGAGATTTACAAAACAGCACAAAAGACTATTCTTCCTCAGGACGCTTCAAAAGTTCAGGTCAGACACAATAATCCTCACACAGTTCTACACAACATATTTATTCATTCATTTACAAAACATCCAAGATCTCTGTTGTTTATGTTGTTTCTGTAGATTCCAAAAACTTGTGGTTATGAATAAATGATTCTGATTCAAAACAGCGAATGAAAAACATGTTTACAGACCAGGACAGCAAATGAGAGACCTCGTTACAGACCACAACAGCGGATTCGAAACCTCCGTGCAGACCAGGAGACCCAGACTCAGGTCCCGACATGTGGACCAGGATGTGGGCCAGGATGTGGACCAGTAAGTGGACCAGGATAAACTCAATTCTCTCTTTTGGTCAGAAGTGGATTATGAGTGAGTTATGCGCGGTGTAGCAGCAGAGAGCCCATTTTAGCACTTCAAACAGCAGTGTGCGTGTGTGTGTGTGTGTGTGTGTGTGTGTGTGTGTGTGTGTGTGTGTGTGTGTGTGTGTGGGTGGGTGGGTGTGTGTGTGTGTGCGTGTGTGTGTGTGTGTGAGTGCGTGTGTGTGTGTGTGTGTGTGTGTGTGTGGGTGGGTGGGTGTGTGTATGTGTGCGTGTGTGTGTGTGTATGTGTGTGTGTATGTGTGAGTGAGTGCGTGTGTGTGTGTGGGTGTGTGTGTGTGTGTGTGTATGTGCGTGTGTGAGTGAGAGTGTGTGCATGTAGTGTGACATAGTGGGGACCCACCTATGTCCTGTGTGTGCGTGTATGTGTGACAGAGTGGGGACTCACCTCTGTCCTGGATGGAGAAGGAGAACATGTCACTGGTGGAGTTGTCTCCGTGTTTCAGGACGTAGCAGACGCTCATGTCGTCGATGTCGGCTGCAGAGAAACATAGAATCAACTGCTTTTATCCTCTGTGTTTATATAATTAGGCCGAGCCAATACGAAGTATTGGGGAGGCCTATTGTTATTCACCGGTTTCATATTATTATTCTTTTTCCGCATCTTCAATTCGATTTTTGACCCTGAAGACATGCACGAAAGTCTGCACATGGGGGGTCTAAAATGACCGGTCCGGCGAAAAATTTGATACGTTTCGAGATTGTCCGACAAAAGGCGAATCAATAGCGCCCCCTCGAAAATTCAAAATTTGCCATTTCTATTGGAGGCAGGATTGCATATTTTGGAGTAGGTACACGAAATTCGGATGAGTGATAGATCTCTATGAGACGAGCATAAAAGCCGGTCTAAGCACATGTCTGGGACCAACAGGAAGTCGGCCATGATGGGCCGAAGTTTCGCCACTAATTTGACTTTTCATTTAGAAATTCGAACTAGTCCCTGGTTTTTCATCACACAGAGTTCTACCACGTCATTTCCTAATCTGGACGGATTTAAGTTATATAATCATCAAAAAAAAGTTAGAAAATCTTCACCGTTTTCGTCCCTCGCCATGGCGAATAAGGCCTTCGTTTTGGTCATTTTCGCTGAGCCCTGAGGGCCACAGGCTCAGACCTACAGAGCTGAGACTCACATCAGTAATATTAGGTAATGGCCTGAACGCAATGACACTAAAATCATTCGCCCAATATGAGCTCTTTAGCGCCACCTGTCGGAAAGTAATAGGGCACTAGTGCTCGGATCGGCCCGAAAATTGCCGAGTGTATTTTCTGGACCGAGACGAGCAAAACATTACATTACGCAAAAGTTGTAAGTCCTACACCTGACCACTGGGGGCGCCGTAAAGTGAATGAATGAGCTTTTTGGGGCAAAATGTTTGTCCGATGAGGCTAAAAATGAATTCAGAAATACAGCGTATGACCCTGAACACAACGATATACAACACACAACTGTGAGTGCAACAGCGCCACCTACAGGCAGTTCAAGGTGTCGCATTTTTGGCTTCGTACTAGTCCCTGGATTTTCATCGCACAGACTTTTACCATGTCATTTCTCCATCTGGACGGATTGAAGTTATGCAATCATCGCATAAAAGTTAGAATTTTGTTATCGTTTTCATGCGAGGTAGTGGGGAATTTCTCCATGTTTGATGCTCTCCTGACCACAGGCTCAGACCTACAGAGCTAAAACTCGCATCGCTAACAGTTGGTAATGGCCTGAGAGTAATGGTGTGAAAACACACACCTAATATGACTCTACAGCGCCACCTATGGAAGGCTTCTGACCTAAACTTTTCCGATCTTCACCAAAGTTGCAAAATGAAATCTTTACATCTGTACGAGCAAAATACTACTCTACGTAGAGGGTGCATGTCCCGGAGGTGACCACTAGGGACGCACTTTATCATATAAATGAGCTTTTATATACGTAATCCTGGTCAGATCGGGCTGCCAATTCGTCGGCGTGACGCTTGTGGGACTGGCGCCCAGGAGGCGGTCGCAAGAGGGGCCGCTTGCGGCTTTAATTATTTTTACTTGTATCTGTTGATGTCACTAGCAACAAAAAAAACGTTGATTTACTTTGACATGCTTAGACCTACATACACCGGGACTAGTCTGGTCAACTGCAGTGGCCCTAATACTCAAAAGTTTGGACACCCCTGAACCAAAGTGTCCGTCTCTGGTTTGGGTTTGGACGGCTCTGCTCGAAATGGGAAGTAATGAGGGTCTTTTTAGTTGTGCCTTCTATAAACTTGCGAGGGTCTTTACAGAAGAGGGGAACATAGGGCCGGGCTAAAACTCAGGAGAGCAGAGACCCTGGATACTACTGCTACTGCTGCTGCTGCTGCTGCTGCTGCTGCTGCTGCTGCTACTGCTGTATTTTATGTGTAAATCTTCTTCAAAGCACTGAGTAAAAGGCACCAGTTCTAAGGCCCCGGAGACGAGTCTTTATTTCTGTGTTTACTTTAGTGTGGGTTTAAAGAAGAGTCTCTGGGGCCGTGTGACTGAGGAGGCTGCTGCTGCTGCTGCTGCTGCTACTGCTGCTGCTACTGCTGCTGCTGCTGCTGCTGCTGCTGCTGCTGCTGCTGCTGCTACTGCTGCTGCTGCTGCTGCTGCTGCTGCTACTGCTGCTGCTGCTGCTGCTGCTGCTGCTGCTGCTACTGCTGCTGCTGCTGCTGCTGCTGCTGCTGCTGCTGCTGCTGCTGCTGCTGCTGCTGCTGCTGCTGCTGCTGCTGCTGCTACTGCTGCTACTGCTGCTACTGCTGCTGCTACTGCTGCTGCTGCTGCTGCTGCTGCTGCTGCTGCTGCTGCTGCTGCTACTGCTGCTGCTGCTGCTGCTGCTGCACTACTGCTGTCTGCTGCTGCGCTGCTGCTGCTGCTGCTGCTGCTGCTGCTGCTGCTGCTGCTGCTGCTGCTGCTGCTGCTGCTGCTGCTGCTGCTACTGCTGCTGCTGCTGCTGGCTGAGGAAGAGGTCTGAACTATTGACATTCAGATCGGCTGAAAACACTTTCAATATTGCTGTTTTTGTCTGTATTTCCTTATGAATCTTCACACAGTCATGATGAGTCCTGCAGAGAGGCCAATAACAGGGGTGTCCAAACTAATGCATTATGATGTTTGATCTTTTAATAATCCTGTAATTAAATATCAACAATAAGTCATTTCAAATCTGAAAACAATTAACAAAAACAGCCACATCACGAACATGATGCCATAAGCTAAACTTCCATAACAGTGTTGTGTCTCCAGAGCTCGGATTCACATGGTTTTGAAATACCATAAAAGCAGCGTTAGGTCACCATGGTAACGCACAGAGGGATGGGCTTGGCCAAAGTCCGCTCTGGTTCACACTCGAGCGTAGCATAAAAACAGAGCGATCCGAAAGAAGCTACAATGATTCTCCCAACCTCCTCTCCCCCTCACCCTCCTCACAGTCCCTCTCTGTCCTGGGTCTTTCCCTGGTCTCCTCCTGGTCTCCTCCTGGTCTCCTTCTGGTGGGACAGGCCCAGAACACCTCCCCAGAGAGGAGACCAGGAGACATCCCAAACAGAAAAGCCACTTCCACTGGCTCTCATCGACGTGGAGGAGCAGCAGCCCTAGTTCGAGCTTCTCCCGTGTGACTGAGCTCCGAACCCTCTTCTAAGGGTGCAGACTCTGCAGAGAAAACTCATGTGGAGCTTGTATCCGCAATCTTGTCCTTTCAGTCCCAAAGCTCAGGACCATTTGCAAAACATTCATATTTGATCAATTCTAATAACTGAGAGTACAAAACATTTATGAAGAACAGACACAAAACCAAGGTCCAAGTGTCTGCTGGTTTCACACATGTGGCTGTTACTTGTGTTAATCCAGGTATTTTAAGCAAATATTATTTAATTGAATACAGACTTAGATTTGAACCCAGGACCTTCTTGCTGAGAAGCGAGAGAGCTAACTACTCAGCCACCGTGCCACCCTAACTCCCATGTTCAGATTGTAGGAGTCTCTGGGTTTAACTCTGTCTAATGACCTGAACTGGGACAAAAACACTAATCAGGTCGTCAAGAAAATTCATCAGCGCCTCTGCTTTCTGTGGAAACTTATAGAATTTACCAAAAACTCTACGATTCTGCTGGACTTTAGTCGCTGCAGCATTGAAAGTTTAGCACTTTAACAATCTTGTATTGAAACTGTTTTTGTTTAACAGTCACAATTTTTTCCCGTACTTTTAACTTTTATTTTGGTTATTGTCAGGTGCACACTGCAATTGGCAAATGGTTTGGCAAAATGAGTTTGACATCGCTGGTCTCAGGTCTGTTTGGATGAGGAACAATGCTGTAACATGGCTAAAAACTCAAAAAAAACAAACATTAAAATAAATCTTTTTTATTTTTTTTAATTTTTTTCTTGTGTTTTTATTTTATTTATTTTTTGCTTTGTTTTATTTAGTGGGAAAAAGTGTATCTGGTCCTACCTTGTGTGAAGCTGGAGATCGTGGCGTTCCCTTTCCCGTGGTTGATGATGTAACCGTGCAGCGGCGGCGTGGTCACTCTGAAAACCACCGTGTTCATGGAGCTGTCTCTATCCTCCGCTTTCAGAGTTTTACCGGTGAAGACGAACCCAACATGTCCGCCGTCCAGAACCCGAAGTGTGGTCGCGCCTTTATTCACCACGATCTGCGGAACGCCGTTATCCACCGACAACACCGTAATCTTCATCGCTTGCGGCTTACGGGTTTCGAACACGGTGTCGGGAAAGACGTAGAAATCGGTGTGGGTGCCGTCTGTAACCGTGAACGAGAAGCTATCTTCCGCGTTTTCCGTGCCGTCGTGTTTGTAGCTGATCATATTCTCGTTCAGGTCTTGTTTGGTGAAAGCGTTGACCGGCCTTGTGTTGTTAAAAAGTATCTTTCCGTGAACTGGGACTTGGGTTACGGTAAATTTCAAAAGCCGATCGGCAGTGTCTCTATCTTCGACTGTTAGCTCGAACGGCGTTATTAGCTTGTTTTCGCCCTCCGTCACAACCAAGCCGTGTATTGTTACCACCGGCTTTTTGTTGTCTACGTCGGTGATGGAAATACGGAACGTTCTGAAAATGGGATTATAGCCGTCCGTGACTTCAAACTCAAAACTATCCATTTTCACCTCGTCGTCAGCCGTGTGGATGTAGTAGATTTTGTTTCCGGCAATCTGGAGTTGCGTGAAAGACGATATCGGCATTCCCGGCTTATCCGTGCATTCCAAGTGCCCCCTGATTGGCGCTCTGGTGATGGTGAAAATTAAATGTTCGTCCGGGCTATTCATATCCGTAGTGCTGAGCAGATTGGTCGTTAGCGTCACTCTTCCGCCTTCCTTTAGCGAGACGCCTTTACTGACCACATCTGGAAACACCATGTCAATGCCGCCCACTGTGACGTAAAAGTACCTGTCAATCAAAGGGTTTAATCCATCTGTCACATCAAATTTGATCAAATCTCGAATCCCCTCCTGTCCGTTATGAATGTAAACAATCGCGCCCAGGTCTATTTCATTCTGCGTGAAGTTCATTCCGACCGTGAGATTTTGAAAAGTTCCGTACTGTGTTGTTTTTTGCAAAAATCCCTGCCCAGGTCCGTAGCGGATAATATAAGTCAAAGTGCTGTCTTCGGAATCAAGGTCAGTGGCTTTTAAAACGCTCTTGGTGATGACTTTTACGTCTCCTATATCCACTTCGAGCCCGTCGTTGATGGCCATTCTCGGGGTTTCGTCATCCACGGGGATCACCATGACGATGACAGTCCTTTCGACACTAAACTTCCCATCTGTGAGAATTAAATCAAAGCTGTCCTGGGTGGTTTCTGAGTCATCGTGCTCGTACACAATACTAGAAGCCTCTCTTATCTCCTCCAAGGTGAAGTTAAATACGGGAACGGTGCCGGTGGTGAGCTGATTGAAAATAAATCCGTGCTTGGGGGGTTTGCTGATAATAAAAGTGAGATGATCCGATGGTAGATCCGTGTCGGCCCCGTTCAGAATGGGAGTGTCGATGACTATATTCATGCCCTCCATCACTACAAACTCTCTCATGTAAATCTCCGGCTTCTCATCATTGGAAGGAATTATAGAAATGGGGAAAAAGTGTCTCTCGGAAAAATTGATTCCATCGGAGCATCTGAAAGTGAACCGGTCCTCCACTGGCTCAGAACCTTTGTGGAGGCTTTGGACGTAGTAGATTTGATTCTGCTTGATGTCCTTGATGGTGAAGGCGCTAATGGCTGTGCCTGATCTGGATTTCTCAGACCCGGGGGCTGGCGAGATGTTCTCAACGTAACCCGACGTTGGCTGGACTATGATAGTGCAAAGAAGATCGCCAATGAGAGTGTCCACATCGTTGGCGCTTATGTGAACGCTTTCGATTGGACTTTTCTCACCCTCGATAACAGAAAAGCGTTCACCGACAAACACTTCGGGAGCTTGGCTGTCAAGTGGGAGAATAGTGACGTGAACTCTGACTCCGGTGATTTTATTCCCGCCCACAGTCCATTCATCGGACATATCAGTTAGAGTTAGATTAAAATAATCCTCTTTGGTCGTCAGGCCGATTTCGCCGCTAGTATGCGCATACACTACAAAGCCATTGATAATATCTGCTTGTGTAAATTTGTTGGCAGGAAACCCCCGGACCAGAATCTGCCCTAACAACGGTGGGTCCTCAACAATAAAAGTCAATCTTAGATCGTCCGTGTCTTCATCTCGACCTTGAATGACGTTACTTGTGATTTCGGTCGCGCTATTTTCAAGAACTTCCATAGTTGAGCCGATAGTTCCGGGCGGGAGAGCGATTGTTGGTACTTCATCGTCAATTGGTTTTACGTTAATTTTGATTGTAATCGGGACAATATGGACGCCATCGCTTACATCTAAAAGGATAGAATCCATTGTCGATTCGTCGCCATTGTGAGTATAAGATATTCTTCCGCTTTCAATGTCGTCGAGGTTAAATGTATCTCCTCTTGTCATGTCTATGTATGTAAACTTAATATGTCCATGTGTTGGAAGCTGAGTAATTGTGAATAATATTTGTTTACTGTCTGTATCTGTGTCAGTGGTGAATAGCTCAGCACTTGATACAATATGGGTCCCACGCTCAAGCAAATTAAACCCGGAATTTGTGATTTGAGGTGGCGTGTTATCTACAGGTTTCAAAAAAATGGTAAAAACTCCATCTGCGCGATTTCCCGAGACGTCCTCTACGATGTACTTAAACTGCAAAATATGCGTGGTAATTCCGAGCTCTAAATCCGGCGGCTTGTACGCAATTTTGTGGTGGTTGATTTGCGCCTGTGTAAATGTTATCACTTCAATGTCGGGCTGTTCTGTCAAAACTAAAGTCCCCAACACAATGGGGTTATTCTCGTCCGTGTCGGTCGGAGGTTGAACGATTGTGTATTTAAGATCGCGATCCTCAGAATCCAAATCGCTGTAACGCAAGATTTTTTTGCGGAAATGCGTGAGCTGGTACTCGTGCACGGTCATTTGCAAAGTGGTCCCCGGGAACAGCTCGGGCGGCAAATCGTCAATGGGAATGATTTTGATGATAAATGAACTTTGCTCGGACTGGTTCGGGGGATCGTTATCGTCCTGGACCCTGAAAACAAACTGGTCCAGAACTACACTTGTACTGTGCGGACCTGTGTGTTTGTAGAATAACTTTCCATCCATGATATCTTGCTGTAACCATTCTGTAACTACTTTCTCATACATTTCATCCTCAGTGTTAAATCGCCAAGTCGACGGATCTTCAGGCGCTTCAGCTTGGCGCAAAACAACCTCCCCGATGGCGGAAAACGGCGCTTCTATAACAAACTTAATCGTGGAGTCCTCAGAGTCTATATCTGCCGAGCTTAGCATTAGCGACGAGATGGGTATCATTTGATTTTTGAATAAAACTAACCCGGTGTTTGCGTTTATAATCGGTGGCTCGTCATCGGTTGGCACGACGGTAATTGGAAACAAAAATTCTACTTCGTTAGTGCCGTCTGTCATTCGGAATATGATGTTATCGCTGTACGTATCGCTACCGTCATGCTGGTAGATAACAACCCCTGCGTCAAGATCGGCTGGAGTGAAAAACTTCCGTATAGACCCGGGAACCGTTAAAAGCCCATGCCTCAAACCCGCAACTACAGTAATTCTAACATTCTCCAAGTTATCCTCATCGCTAATCTCCAAATTCTGCAGACTGGAAAGCGGACGGGACTGGCCTTCGTACAGTAACTGCCCTGTGTTTCTCGTCACCACCGGCGCCAAGGTGTTCATGGGCTTCACCACGATCATGAAAGCGAAAGGGTCCGACACCGCGCCTTCCGTGTCCACCACCTCCAGCTCAATCTGGAAAATCCGCTCCGCCTCCGAGTCCACCGCAGGAGGCTTGTAGGCGATTTTCAAGTCTTTCAAGTCTCCTTGGTAGAACGAGGTTATTGGTAAATTCCGATCGTCCGTGCTCACGATGTAGCCCTCTTCGAAAGACAAAGGCGATGTTATGTTAAAAATTAATTCATCCGGATTAGATTCTATGTCCTCTGCGGCTAGCATGTCCGTGGTGATGGCCGTCATAACAAACTGGTCCACTTCCATCATCATCATAGCCACAAAGCTGGGTTTAGGAGCCGTATTATCCATCCCCTCTTTAATCCGCACCAGAATTTGGAAGAACTCCTGCTTGAGCAAATTGCCTTCCTTATCAGAAAGCTCCAAAAGCATGGGAATGTAATCTCTATTGGGAGACTTCAAAGCGAAAGTGTGCTGATATCGGACATTCGCGTTAATAAAATCATCACAGTTCACCAAGCTTCCCAGGCTGTCCTCTCCCACGAGTTTTCCATACCTGGGTAGGACACTGCCAGAGGAAAGGGAAACAATTTTGCACTGCTGAGTGGTTCTGTCAAAGGTAAATTCCAATATTCTTTTGTCAATTGGATTACTCGTGCCAAGTAATCTCTCAACAGACAGTGGTAGGTTTTTGGTCAACACCTCCAGCTGTGAGAAAACCACTTCCACTTCCATCATAAAGGGAATAATTATGGTGTCAGTCTGGGTGTCATACCTGAGCTGTAATCTTATTCTATCCCTGGGGGGACTTCTGGATCCAAAGTGAGAATATTTGACATCGTTCGGTCCAAATTCACAGGGAAACTTTTTTGGAGACAGGTGCCCAGGTCTCTGAGACAGTGGGTCACTGTCCAACACTGTCACGCTGCATCTGTCTCCGGGCTGAACTTGAATCACCAGATCGTTGATGGGATCGATGTAGACGGACCTCCCGAACGGCGCGCGTAATCCGTTATTCGCCACCAGGATAGTGTCCTCTGTCACGTCCGTGCGTAACGACAGTCCGTAGCTGTCAAAGCCCTGCGCGCCTGCATCACCTGTCCACAGATACAGCAGCAGCGCGCACAGAGCAGTCCAGGGCACGGAGCGGATCCACGCCATTTGCGCAGAAGGGAAATCAAAACTGTGACTGATTCCAAGCGGTTTGTTATAAAATCCACGGCGTGAGTGTGGAGAGTTCCCCGGGACTGCGTGAGCCAAGGTGCAGCATTCTTCCACAGCAGCAGCAGCGTGCGCACTGGCTCCCAAACTTCTCCCTCCGCTTGGAGTAAAGACGCACGGAGACGCCCCTTCGCTGTTCATTGGACTCTGTGTGCGTGAGGCAGCTCTGCAGACGCGCAGCTGCGTTTCTAGGCCTGCGCAGAGGTGGCCGTGCCGTCCTAAAGCTGGGGCACCTAACCTTTGTTTCATAAATACACGTTGTTTGTCCCAAAAGATTGGTATTTTAGTGGACAATGAAGTAGGATCACATTAGTCCTGGTCTCAGATCTCTGCACTGGTCTCACGTCTCAAGGCTCACTGGTCTCAGGTCTGCACTGGTCTCAGGTCTCTGCCCTGGTCTCAGGTCTCTGCACTGGTCTCAGGTCTCTGCCCCATGGTCTCAGGTCTCTGCACTGGTCTCAGGTCACTGCACTGGTCTCAGGTCTCTGCACTGGTCTCAGGTCTCACTGGTCTCAGGTCTCACTGGTCTCAGGTCTCACTGGTCTCAGGTCTCTGCACTGGTCTCAGGTCTCTGCACTGGTCTCAGGTCTCACTGGTCTCAGGTCTCTGCACTGGTCTCAGGTCTCACTGGTCTCACGTCTCAAGGCTCACTGGTCTCAGGTCTGTACTGGTCTCAGGTCTCTGCCCTGGTCTCAGGTCTCTGCACTGGTCTCAGGTCTGCACTGGTCTCAGGTCTCTGCCCTGGTCTCAGGTCTCTGCACTGGTCTCAGGTCTCACTGGTCTCAGGTCTCTGCACTGGTCTCAGGTCTCTGCACTGGTCTCAGGTCTCTGCACTGGTCTCAGGTGTCAGGTCTCTGCACTGGTCTCAGGTCTCTGGTCTCAGGTCTCTGCACTGGTCTCAGGTCTCTGGTCTCATGTCTCTGCACTGGTCTCAGGTCTCTGGTCTCAGGTCTCTGCTCTGATCTCAGGTCTGTGCACTGGTCTCAGGTCTCTGGTCTCATGTCTCTGCACTGGTCTCAGGTCTCTGCACTGGTCTCAGGTCTGCACTGGTCTCAGGTCTGTGCACTGGTCTCAGGTCTCTGGTCTCATGTCTCTGCACTGGTCTCAGGTCTCTGCACTGGTCTCAGGTCTGTGCACTGGTCTCAGGATTGCACTGGTCTCAGGTCTCACTGGTCTCAGGTCTGTGCACTGGTCTCAGGTCTCACTGGTCTCAGGTCACTGCACTGGTCTCAGGTCTCTGGTCTCATGTCTCTGCACTGGTCTCAGGTCTCTGCACTGGTCTCAGGTCTGCACTGGTCTCAGGTCACTGCACTGGTCTCAGGATTGCACTGGTCTCAGGTCTCACTGGTCTCAGGTCTCTGCACTGGTCTCAGGTCTCTGGTCTCATGTCTCTGCACTGGTCTCAGGTCTCAGGTCTCTGCACTGGTCTCAGGTCTCTGCACTGGTCTCAGGTCTCTGCACTGGTCTCAGGTCTCACTGGTCTCAGGTCTCTGCACTGGTCTCAGGTCTCTCTGGTCTCAGGTCTCTGCACTGGTCTCAGGTCTCAGGTCTCTCACTGGTCTCAGGTCTCTGCACTGGTCTCAGGTCTCAGGTCTCAGGTCTCTCTGGTCTCAGGTCTGCACTGGTCTCAGGTCTCTGCACTGGTCTCAGGTCTCTGGTCTCAGGTCTCTGCACTGGTCTCAGGTCTCTGGTCTCAGGTCTCTGCACTGGTCTCAGGTCTCTGGTCTCATGTCTCTGCACTGGTCTCAGGTCTCTGGTCTCATGTCTCTGCACTGGTCTCAGGTCTGTGCACTGGTCTCAGGTCTCTGGTCTCAGGTCTCTGCACTGGTCTCAGGTCTCTGCACTGGTCTCAGGTCTCTGGTCTCATGTCTCTGCACTGGTCTCAGGTCTCTGGTCTCAGGTCTCTGGTCTCATGTCTCTGCACTGGTCTCAGGTCTCTGGTCTCATGTCTCTGCACTGGTCTCAGGTCTCTGCACTGGTCTCAGGTCTCTGGTCTCAGGTCTCTGGTCTCAGGTCTCTGGTCTCATGTCTCTGCACTGGTCTCAGGTCTCTGGTCTCAGGTCTCTGGTCTCATGTCTCAGGTCTCACTGGTCTCATGTCTCTGCACTGGCTCCTGTGGCTCAGAGACAACATTCACAACCTCACTATACATAAAAGTTTCATTACAGACGTTTCAAATTCATGAAATATTTAAACATTTAAATGAACAGAAAGGAAAAGAAACACTTTGATTTTGACATTAATTCATCTGAATCCTTTTGGACGCAGCAGGGTCTGAGGACATTGGTCTCTGTCTCTTATGAACCAATGTGTTTTTTATCTCTGCGTTTCCTGTGTTTGAACTGTGGTATTCTCTGATCTGAATTTGTAAAGTCCTCTGATATAACTATTTGTAATTTAGCGTTTTACAAAAATAAATAGCAAAAATACCGTGTCCTTAACCTTCCTCATCCTGAGCTTTAGAAATAAGCTTTTATGACACAACACAGCTCCAGGTTTTGGCAAATGCAATTCAACTCCTTTTCAAGATGTTTTTTTGTATGATTATCACACATTATCAGGGGTCCACAGGTTATTCTATTCCCGTGCGAGTAAACAAACTTGTTTCACTTCCGGTTAATCGATTGACGCCGAAATATATTAAATACATAATAAAAAAGGTTAATTATTGCACTTTCTAGTTCCCAAATCTGGTTATTATAATATATATATGTCTTATAAGAAATGAAAAACCCAAAATGGTAATTTTTGTATATTGTTGTGTGCCTGAAAATGCAAAATAGCCTTTTTTCGATTTTCCATTTCCCTTTAAAAATAGAAAATGTATTGAACGCAAAAGAACACTGACCCGATTGCTTTATTTCCTCATTCCAAGGGAGACATTTCTGTATCTTTTTTAAACAAGATCATTTTGTTTTGTCTTACATTTTTGCCAAATATAAGCAATTTCTGACTTTTTTGTTGTCGTCCCTTTCTTCTGTGTACTTTGTCGCCAGAGCAGATGGGTCTCCTGGAGGGGGTCTTGTGCGCGCAGCTCCTTCTGTTCAGATGGATGACGCGGTGATGCCCCCGGGTATGGAATGCGGCCCCCTGGTCCGATTGTAGAGGCTCCCATGGTCTCTCAGGGGCCTGGACCATGGAGGTATTGTAGGCCTGGACCATGGAGGTATTGTAGGCCTGGACCATGGCATTATAGGCCTGGACCATGGAGGTATTAGGCCTGGACCATGGAGGTATTAGGCCTGGACCATGGAGGTATTATAGGCCTGGACCATGGAGGTATTGTAGGCCTGGACCATGGAGGTATTAGGCCTGGACCATGGAGGTATTATAGGCCTGGACCATGGAGGTATTGTAGGCCTGGACCTTGGAGGTATAGGCCTGGACCATGGAGGTATTAGGCCTGGACCATGGAGGTATTATAGGCCTGGACCATGGAGGTATTGTAGGCCTGGACCTTGGAGGTATTAGGTCTGGACCATGGAGGTCTTATAGGCCTGGACCATGAATGTCTTATAGGCCTGGACCATGGTATTATAGACCTGGACCATGGTATTATCGGCCTCGACCATGGATAATAATGATCATGATGATAATACATTGGTTTTATGCAGCGCAGAAGCGAAGCAACCAGTCTGTGGCATCGGCCCCTCCCACCACCAACCATTCACACACACACCAGACTCATTCTAATGTGGGTGAAGTGTCTTGCCTAAGGACACAACCACAGTCTGGTACTGTATAGCCACAGCCTCCCCACTTGAGAACCTGGTGTTCCCAGAGGTCTCCCATCAAAGCACTAACCAGGCCCTGTCCTGCTTAGCAGCATAGGTTTGACAGGATCTGGCTTTCCCCAAAGACCTGAAAACTGCTGTTCAAACGCTCTTCATCTGATCTGACAAAGCTCCAGTTGTTTTGTAAAGAAGAATGGGTTAAACTTCTTTTTCTTCTTCTCCCTCTTCATAAAAATATTCAGAGACAACATTTATTGTAATTGCCTGAGAAGAGTCGACCTTTTAGGGGTCGACCCTCTCAAGAGGGTATATTTCTAAGCAGCTTGAAGGTAGTGAATGTTTGGATGTTGGTCCAATGGTTGGTCCAGAGGAGCCACCCCCAGGGGCAGCACCCGCAGGGGCAGCATCCCCAAAACACAGTCAATCACAAGACCATCCATCCATCCATCCATTTTCTACCCTTTAATCCATTTCTGGGTCAGGGGGGTGGCAGTCAGAGATGGGGGCTTTAATCACAAGACGATCTATGTAAATGTTTAACATACTTTATTGAATGTATTATTTATATGTCAATAAATGTCGGTGTAGCACGAGACCAGCGGGGGTGAGTGATCAGCCTCTGTCTCCCTCTAGTGGCCACAGGCTGCACCATCACCGGAGCTGTTTGGGGACAAATATTTATTCAGGGCTGAAATCATTATTAATATAGATTGGTATTTATTGATCCAGATGGACTTGTTTGTGCGACCTTTAGATACATGTGGGAACTAGTGGTGGATCAATTCATATCAAATTATTTACACAAAATTACCAACCCAAACAGAACAGAAAAACACAAATAAATAAAATAAATAAAATACATGAAATAAATAAAATTAATAAATAAAATAAAAAATAAATAAATAATAATTAATTAATTAATTAATACAAATACAAAAATAAATAATAAAGAAAATAGAGAATATGAAATAAAAAATGCAATGTATTTTTGTATTGTCCAAGACAGAAGAAAAGGAATAAAACAGATACTTTTATGTCACAGTCGTCACAGATGCAGGAGATTGTTCTATTTCCAAATTTCCATCAGTCTAAAGTTCCATTTCTTCTTTTCTTACACCGTTTAAGTGAAAATCTCTCATTCTTTGACCATTTCACCGTTTCACTGTAATCTGCTCCAACCCAGAGACATGAGTCTGAGTGTCACGTTATTCTTGGACATTTAACTCCTGAAGAGCTGGGTGTAGATGAACTGTTCCTGCTCCAGTGTAAAAGGTGTTTTTGGAAAGTATTCACTCTGAAGAATACAGAGTATATTTTGTTGTCTGAAAATGATCCAAAACTTTCCAGAAATGATATCATTGTGAGAACCTTGGTTTGGGACTGGATTCATACAGAAGCAAATCATCT